CCTTTTTAACAACAGAAATATGCTGGTGACCACCAACCATGATGGATGATCTTGAACAAGCAGAGAACATTGGATTTTATTTTTTTTGCTGTTGAAGAAACAGAAGATTTTTGAAACATCATCTGCTGAGAGTGAGTACAGAAAAGCTTCATGAWGCCTCCTTACTTTTCCAAAAAGGATTTCTGCCAGCTTCTCCAAAAGGTTACGGTGTTGGAGCTCAAGATTCATCGTYTGGAGGAGATGAATGCTTTGGAGGACTCAACATGCATTAAAATGGGTGAGAAGGCTGAGATAAGGGACCAAGTGGATGAGGAGATGGAAGCTGCTTCAGAGAGTAAAGCTGTGGAACTCTCTTGGTGCCAGACAAAAAAGTCTCTCAGGAAGGATTCAGCTCTTAGATGACAACGAATGGCCAGAGTTACAGAGAAATGCTTTTTCTCCAACAGCAAGGAGAAGAAAGCAGCGACAGGCTGAAATCAAAACAACTGATAACAGCCAGAGAAATGAAGACAGAGCAGTTTTTCTTCAAAACAGATTCATACCACTGGAAGAAACTAAAGAGTCTGAACAAAATTCCCTTTCTGATCTCAGAGAGGGACCTGGGACCAGATCCAGCTTAAAGCCAAAACAAGTCCAAAGAGAGGCTTTCAAGAATCAAGAAATGCTGATCATCACAGATAAAATGGTGAATGAGATCAGAGGCTCTGGAACAAGAAAAAAGTCAAAGTTCTGAGTTTTTCTGATAGTGTCTGACCTCACAGAGAATATTCTGGAAATCACAGCAGAGTATCCAACGCTGAAGAAGCTCATCATTCATACAGGAAGTGATGAAGTTATGAACCGACAGTCAGAAGTTCTGAAGAAGGATTTCATTCAGTTGCTGGATGCAGTTAAAAATCTCAACATGGATGTGTTCCTCAGTGGGCCCGTTCCCACAGCCAGAGGAGGAGCTGAGAGGTTCAGCAGACTGTTAGCTCTTAATGGTTTTTTGGAAAAGTCCTGTGCTGACCACTCTGTGAGATTTGTGGATAATTTTGATCTCTACTGGGAACGAAAACATCTGTTCAAGTCTGATGGAATGACTCTGAATCAAAATGGAGCACAAAAGATGCAAAGATGACATAATAGTGTTTGTTAAACAATAGATATCAGGCCTCTCAACTGTCTCAGGAGAGGCAGAAGAGCAGAGACAGGAGCAGAGAGCAGGGGGACAGTCTGATGTAAATCKGTGTTCCTTTTGTTGCAATAAAACTCAACTGATCATTTCCACGTAGTACCTTCATTCCTGGACCACGTATTTCTGTCTTTGTTAAATAAATATTTCCATAACAATGCTTAGGACAAGACGGCAGGATGGTAAGCTGTTATCTTTTTTGCGTAACTAAAGTCATTTGAAAAAAATGTTACAGTTGTTGCAAAATGATTCACAATTACTCTCATATATGGGATGTAACTCTCCCTGTCAGTGAACCAATCAATGAGCAGCAGTAGATGACATCAAACTGGGCCAAGCAGGCTGGATTGATGGGAACCACAGCTCTCGAGGTTCCAGAAATTAGGGTGGACCCGAGCCAGAAGGGTTAATGCAAAAACCTGGGTTTGAACCCCGGCTTTGCAGAAAAGCCTACAGTGACTGCTAGACATGGGCACCAGTGACCCCCATGACCCTGAAAGGAAGAAGTGGGTTAAGATACAGTGGTTTGCAAAAGTATTCATACCCCTTGAACTTTTCCATATTTTGTCACATTATAACCACAAACATAAATATATTTCACTGGAATTTA